CAAATAAAGTGTATTTTTATCATAAAGTCTTTTGTTTCCGTATCAATATGCAATCAAAAATAGAATCTAATAAAATAAATAAAATATACGGAATATTAAAAAATTAAATGATGGATGATATGACATGATTATGTGGCGCTTTGTATGCTCTTAAAAAGTTCCTCGTTTATATATATATATATATATATATATATATATATATATATATATATATATATATGTATATTGATTTAGTCCACTACGCATTTTCATAATAGCAATAGGAATTATGAGCCCGTTTGGTGAGTCTCTTTTTCGACTTATGAGACTTATCAGTCAACTTTTTCACCAAACACATAATTTTTGCTTTCGCGCGCTGAACTGTGTAATGAGCAGAAAAAGTAAGGCTGAAGTTACTTTTCTGGCTGTATTGGTTGAAGTTACTGTAGATGATCATTTTAGTTATTTTTACATATGATTTTTTTTATTAATAAAATATATTATAAAAAATTTTTTCCCTTAAATCAGCAGAATCAGCTAATGCAGCCACTTCAGCCAAAACTTCATAAATTTTAGCAAAATTAGCCAAAACAACCAATTTTCAAGCTACCAAACGGGCTCTATATGTGGTCTGGCTTCTATATTAGAATTAGTTCCCTATATTTTTTTTTGGGAAGAATGAGACTTAGATTGATATGACAACATTCAGAGGGGTTAAAATATCAAAAGAATATAACTTGTTGATCCTAACTTGGGCATAATTGAGCCAAAGACGATTACCGCATACCTCTCATCATTCAGTCCTAGTGCAAGAGTCTCAATAATAAATGAAATAAAAACAAATAACAACAGTCTCGACGTGGAAATTAAAATGCAAAACAACCAAAAAAACCAGCATTTGATTTCTTGAGCAAGAACACCATTCGCATGTCTGACAGGTCTAGAAGCCCGAACCCGCCGCCTGGCCCGCCTCCCCGTTTTTTGGTTTATCCAGAGACATGCTCTCGCATGTCGGATACTCTTGTGGCTGCTCTTCCCTCGGCACCTCCTCAGTACTGCCTATGTCTCCTTCTTTGGAAACACTATTACATGTGCCCGTTGTGGACTCACACCAATCTTGTCGCCATGTCCCTTCACCCTCTTGATATGCTTTCCGCTATTATCTGGCCGCCCCATGAGCTTGAGGAATTTTCCGCTAACCACTTATTACCGCCTGTTGGACTAGTCTTCACACCCCCACTAGCTAGAAGCTCTACCCCAAAAGATTTTTCCACCATTAAATCTTCCTCATATTTTAAGGGACAGAATTTATCAGGATGCCCAATCACCTCACAAATATTGCAAAAATTAAGGATTTTTTCATATTTGATATCCACCAATTGCTCAATACCACCTTTCTTAAGAGTAGAACCCCTTTTCAGAAACTTCCCTACATCCATTCTCACCCTGATTCTCAAATATGATTATCACTTTTCACTAAAATGGCTCTCATCAAACTGATAAACTCACTAGTATAGTTCCCAACCCTTCTAGCAGTCCCTAAATTCATGAAACTATAAGGTACATTATGCACCTGTGCCCAGAACTTTGCTTCACACAATTTCATTCTATGGGGAAGATCATCTGGCCTAACTTCCTTAAGGAGCAATAGATTTTTTTTCAAACAACTAATGACCATCTTCAAGAACACGATTCATATCCACAATATGGTAAAAAGTAAACAAATACAACCTTTTGTCGTATCTCTTTGATGAATACCCCTTTACCCGAGCGCCAAATCGACGCCAACAGATCTTTGAATGCTTGAAACTTGATTTTCCGGTCCGTGAGGACGACTCTCATCACCGGGAATTCGGCTCTCTTCTCGGATGTATTAATCTCCTCGCCTCCCTCGTCATCAAAATCCAGCTCGTTGTTCTCCTCTCCGATAGTCATCTTCTTGTAGTGATTCGCGAAGTCGTTCATCAATTATCTACAACCTTATCACAATTCCGTTGCACCTTCAGCCGATTAGGAAGCAACGCCGGCGAGAAGCTTCAGTCTGGTCGACTACCTATAGCCTTTCGTTTGAAGAAAAGCTTCACGCAAGCCTAGAATGATCCGCCAGAGGCGGCCGTTCTTTGTCCTCGACGAAACAGAAAAAATACTACTCTAGCGGCCAGCCCTAGAGAGAGAACTATGATTGGATTGAAACATTTATAAGCGGATTGACAATCAATTCCCTATATTAAAAAAAACAATTGTTCGTACACAAAAAAAAATACACTAAAATAAAAATCAATTATTCGTGTACAAACAAAACACACATCCTGTAAATCGATATGTAAGCTGGAATGTACAATTAACATGTTTTATTTACAAATTAGTTCTCCACTTCAGTTTAACTCCTTTTGGGCAACTCCTACTCAAAATAAGTTTTGAATGAGAATGAAGATGTTCATAGCATACGGCATCCAATAGATAGTGTAGTGCTCTTATACGGCACTGTATGTGTTTACTACTAGTGTATTTTTCTATTAACCGTACCGATTTTGTAAAAATTCGTGGTACGGTTAACCAACCGTTAAGAACAAACGGTTCATTGTACGATTACAAATTTAAAATTATGTTAGATCGTTAACCAATAACCTAAATTTCAAATAATTTCCTCTACTGCTATGCTCTTGCCTCCCACGGTAGTCACTTCCTTAGAGAACCATACTGTTACCAAGAGGATATGCAGGCATCGTATACAAGGAGCAATATTATGATCAATGATATACTTCTAAATTTTTTCCAAATGTGTTATTAATCATTTTCTTATTTATTTTGTAATTATTTTTTTCTTTTACTTTCCTTAGCACCGTACGTATTTACAGAGTATATGCTTAGAAGAATCCTGCGAGATGTACAAAACTATACACAAAATCATACTCATCATTTTACTCAATTTATTTATTTATCACGGGAAGTGTTATCAAGCCTAGTTAAAAAATCATAGGTTCAACATAAAAAAACAACTAGAATATTGAAAACTTTATCTTTTGCTTTCATAGTTTATTGATTAATCGATTAGCCGTTAACCGGAAAATTGTTTAACCAATAGCCGGTTTACCAATGTTATGACTTATGAAAATTTAATAACCGCTATGTCGGTTAACCGGATATTTGAGGTCGTGCCCACCGCAAATTACTTGGTTTATTTTGTAATGCGCGTATGTAGATGCATTGCCGTATTGCACCAATGTTAAAACAACATCACACCTTTACAAATGTTTTTTCTACATTCTAAATTTTACGATTTTTCAAATTTTAACGTGTAAAACTCACATCTACTTAGAGTATTCACATAAAAAGAATTATCTCACTCTCTTTAAACATTACTTACAGAAAAGTTGTGTAAGTTTGTACATTTTTGCATTAATTCATATGTGGTGTCATCCATTTATTAAGTGTTAAAAACTATCTAACTTTTCAGCATCAAATGAATGTCACACAAGTATGAATTTATGAGTAATGTTTGGGGAGGATGGGAGATCAAAGAACATTCAATATAGAAAGATTTATCACGGGATAGAGGTGATATAACCATAGCCATAGATATATTGTTACTATTAATTGTGCGCATTTGGTTGCATTATGGTTGTGATTCGTTTTTGTGTGGAAGAAATATGCTTAAATTGATAACACATAATTCAGATTATGGGTAATCCGACAAAAAGATTTCTGACAATCGCCGTCCCGCGAACCAAATTCCGAATTAATCACCTCCAACGAAGCAATATAATCCGCTGATCCATTAATGGACACAAAAGAGCCAAAGACGTTTACCACAATCCTCTCATCACCCACATCCAAATCAATCGTCTTACAGACATAAACAATAACAACGAAACAAACCACACAACAAAATAAATTGTCACTAAGGAAAAATAAAAAGCAAATAAACTTGAAACTCTATCTGAGCCTGCCAATCCGTACGAGCACCCGAACGTTTTCACCTTGCTTGCACTCCATGGCGGCGGCTCGGGAAGGGGACGCTCTCGCGCGAGCCCATCACTCTGTCCGTCAGCATCTGAACTTTCCACGTTGGTAAAGTTGGGCGATCGAAGAAGCTCTTTCGCCCGATTGCATCTCAATTTGATTTCCATCAAGAAGATGAAGGATGGTTTCTTCTGCTGCACAACATCTTTCAAACACTGCCTTGTAGCAGGGTTTCCAAGACCTCTGCAATTTCAACTGAGAATACTCATCTTCTTCCAACAAAAATCCGAAGTTCCAACAGGGAACCGGTGCCGTTATCGGAAATCACCACCGGACAAAGACGCAAAACCCTAGGCGGCTACGCCGTCCTTGGAATTCCGAAACCTAGAGAGCTTGTGATTCGTTTATCTTTAAAAAATACTTTTCACTCCTAATCTCATTTTGCAAAATATACTTTCTTTTTTGGGTTATTACAAAAATATGATCACTTTTCTAAATTAGACTCCACTAAATTTTTAGTTTCCCACTTTGTCTCTTTATTTATCATTTATTAATTTATTTCTTGTGGATTCATCTTATTCTTTCTTACTCTTTGGAGTTTAGAATTTTAAAACAACCATTTTATCCTTTATTTTCTTAAAATCCACGTCAAATCTAAATGCATCTTAATTACAGAGATAGATTATGAGGTAGATTTAGTAATTAAGTTATGCCTTCGGTGAGATGTTCTCAAAGAATTTGATGCCCAGTTTGTACATTACTTCAAAATCTTTTGACTTCGTACCCCATTTATAAATTTTCGTTCATAATATCAAAGTTTTTTAAAAAAATGAAGTGCAAATTCCAATATCATCCAAAAAGTGAGATGAAAAGTCAAATTCCTTCTATTGCTATTTTCTAGAATCATGGTTCACTTAACAAGTCCATCATCTTCTTGTGTTCAAAATGCTAATTACTTGAAACTAAAAGAGAAGAAGATAATATGCCGAAGTATTTGTTTAAATTAAAAAAAATCTTTTTCGTTTAAATCTTTTCTGTTTATGCTTTTCCTTTTTCACACAAAGGCTGAAAAGAGAAGAAAGGCGCGATGAGCAGTCAAGGTGTGTGGGAGCATTTGCCTCTTTTGTTGAGAGCCAACTCCAAAGAATCGGTGGAATACATACTTCAAGCCCTGTGGAGGACTCGCAAGACAGGTCTCGACGCCGCAGACCGCCAAATTATCCGGGAAATGCTCGACCTCCCCACTGATTCCGACCTTGACCCTGTTCGTCTTTCCCTTCCCTTATTAGTTATCATCCTTCTACTGTGTGCATATATGTCTATGAATTTGTGCTTTTTTCCTTTTATTTTGTGGGGAGTTGGGTGGGGATGAGTATGAAAAGTGATTGACTTGTTGAGTGGGCAAAGGGTAAAGCTTTCTGATTAGTTGTTATAGATCAATGATCAAGTGCAAGTAATAGTTTATTCTGATGAAGTGATGAACCTGTTTTTTGTTTTGGTTTCTTGAATATGTATGTTTCTAATTTTGAACTTTTATGTAATTCGACTCCTTACATTTCAGTTCTTTTGGGTATTTGTATAAAACAGACTACTTTAGCAAAAGTAGAGAGATCACATTTGTGCAAAAGGTGGTTGGAAATCTGGGGTAGAAAGGGATTTAGAAACCCTCTGTGATAGCCTCTCAAACATCATTTGAATTTATAAACTTTCATTCCTAAATATGTAATGTCATATGTCAATGTTGAATATATAATTTTTCCAACGATGTAATAATGTAATGTAATACTAGGTATATTATTTTCTTATAAAGATTTTCTGGTTCCAACCAGTACCATACTGTAATGTACTACTTTTTTTTTTAAGGGGGGGGGGGGGGGGGAAGTAATGTACTACTTAATACTCCGTACATTAGTATTTGATAAAGGTTCAAGCTGTAAGGTGTAGAAATGGAACAGGGTCACTCGGGTCTTACAAGTAGTTAAATCAGGGTGGTGTACACCTTACACAATGGCCAACATATGCTTATTCCTCTTTATGAAAATTTTAACTTCTTTGAGCTCTTATTTGTGAGCATTGACAAATCTTTCTACATTGAACATTCTAGGATGTGAAATTTTCATTGTAGAACTGTATTCAAAACACAAAATTGGAAAAGAGAATTTTTCCCCCAAATGAAGGGTAGCAGGAGCAGGAATGCAAGTGTTGCTCTACCCAACAGAAATTTCATATCTTGATCCCCAAAATCATGTAGGGTGTAGCTTTACGCATTAAATAATGTTTTTATGTTTTAAGTTAAAGTTTTGCTTATATTTATACATTACCTCCTCCTCTAGAAGGTTTTCAATTTCACTGTTTATATGCCCAACATAATTCCTTTTTTATTATCTGAGTTTGTTTATCAATTTTTCTTCATGTTTGAAATTGTGTTTATTCTTCAATAGAAATTTTACTGGGTTGCTAAGTATGTAATTTTCAACAGTTAATATTAATTTCAATATTCTTAGGGGAAAGTTAACTTCTTCTTTATAGACCATAACTGACAACCCAATTTAGGACGAAGGTGTTAAGAGTTTTGCTCGGGATAGGGGCTATATATGGTTTTGAAGCCATTAATATTGATTGATGTTTACAGGTTTCAGCTTTGAGGTGCTTAAAGTTAAATAAAAGCACTATTTTTAGTTTTCAACAATGCTTGATGTCCCCACTCTTATACTCACCATGTTTGTGAAGATTGTCTGTGTGTGAATTTGATTCACAGACAAAATATGTGTTATTTTGTTTGTGCAAATTTTGCACAAACAAAATATTGTCCGTGAACGGAAATCACGGACAAAAAAAGCCTTGCACAAACATGGTGGTATAAGGGTGGGTACAAATAGCTTTTTTGTTTAGTTTTTTCTTTAAGCAAAAAACGAAGTGCAATTTCAAGCAATGGAAAATGTTGTTCAAGTGTTTTGCTGAGGGTATATGGAGTGTATATGATTTGGAAGCAGTTAATGTGAAATATTTAGTTAGTGAATGGGCTTAATCTCGCCTTCTGGCAAATGGCCTGATAGATGTTTGGGGCTCTACAGCTTTTGGTGTGCCTGCGCATTTTGATGCGTAGATGCGTGTTTGCGGAGGTAGGGAAGGATGAAATTCAGAAGCTGTTTCCAGATGGGGTCCTGCCTGAGTTGCAGAGATTGCTTACACTTCTGTTCCAAAAATTTCAAAAGGAGTGGCGAGAAGATGCCGTAAATGATCGGGTTAGAATCCACAACTCATCGTTTAGCTTATCATTGAACTGCTGTCTGCTATCCTTCTGAATAGGTATGACAAAAATTATTTGACCTCTTTGTATGTAGCGGCAAGCTTGCCCCATTTAGAGATGATTACTTGGAGGAGGGGGGTGGGGGGCTGAAACTCAAGACCCTGTCGGTGTACTCCTCGCGGTCTAACTTTAATGAAACCTTGAGATGATGAGGAATAGATTGAAGACTGATGATGCATCTCCCTTCATGATGGTGCACCTTCTATTTCATACCCCTCAATGAGTCAATGCCCACAGGGCCACAATGCATATGCAATGGACATCACTATTAAGAGACCTGTTTATGTTTTTGTGATTCAATATGTTCTTATGTAGAGCTTTAATTTATTTGGATGAACTTCATTCACACATGTTGGAGAATTTGCCATTGTTGCAGTAGGGATTTAAGAGTGTAAAAGAAAAAAACAACTCAAGTCTCTTTCAGCTTTTTATTTATTCATTATTAATTGAGGGTGGGGGTAGGTTGGAATTGGGAGTTGAGAGTCAAAATCAAACAAGGTCTCCCTATCTTGGATATTCTTCCAAATCTTGTATTTTAGCATTGCTATTTTAAAAAAACACAGTAGCATTATTTTTTTATAATATAGAAAATAAGGCTATGTTGGAGTGTTGCACTAGGGGTGGACCTGGTCTAGCGGTCCTGCCCGGTACGGAACTTTGTCCAGCACTGTTTGGGATCTGTTTTGGGTTCGGGGCCGCCCATAGTCTGCCCAAGCATGTTGCCCAAACATGTTACCCAGGGACGGATCCAGGATTTCGAGTCAAGGGAGACGAATTTTTTTCATTAGTGTAGGGAGTGAAAAAAAATTCGCTGTTAAGCGGGATGGGAAAAAATTCGTTAGTGTAGCGGGGCAAAAATTTTTCGCTAGTGTGGGGCTCTGCGGGTAATTTTTATTCAAAGTGTTCCATGAGTACATACTAAATACACGATGACATATTAACATTTATATCTATTATTATATTCCAATTCTAATTTTAGACAATGAAAAGATAACTTTGATTTAATAACTATAAGTGCTCTAGAAAAACGTATTGATACATTAAAGTTTAACAAATGACAAATCAAAAGAAAATTATTTGAAAATAAGAAAGAATATATAACATTTTATGATATTATTTGAAGGTAATGAGGTTAAAATTAAAGGTACACATCAACCAATGCTTTTTAAATAACTTATGTCTTGTTTAACCACATGAACCTTAACAGAATAAAGAATTGGTTTTTGAATTGAGATTTTTGTCTACCAAGGAGAGTATTTGTGGGTCACGATGAGCTTTCTTAATATTACAATAGTATGTATGAGATTATTATACTTAGAATACTATAATACTTAGCAATGTTAATTCATATATATGGTGCATATCATATTTGTATTAATGCTAAAATAAGTTAAAGTATTATCTACTCAACAAATTGTTTTTAGAAAGTAAGAGGTAAAAGAAGAGTGTAATCTAATGTCAACAAACATTTATACTATTTAACTATTGTATCTCAAATTCAATATCGTTTGATATCTTACAAAATCGAGTACTAATTATCTCATAAAGATAATTAAACACTACAAAACTAAGAATTTTTAGGTATCCTAAGTCTTAAGCAATGAGTTCTATTGTTTATTTGTTTAAGTTATGTAAATTATTTTAGATTCTACTTCTTTTAAATCACCAATTAATTAATACATTATGTGAGCCTATATATTAATTTCGAAAACTAAAAGTTAAGGAGGGCGAAAACATATATAGTTAATCAAAGTATGAAAATCTTATGAAAATACTACATATATAGTAGAAAAAAATGGAAGTACAAGGGGGGCGGTCGCCCCCCCGGATCCGTCCCCGATGTTACCTGGTCCCGGTTCACCTGATTTGGAACCGAAATGGGTGGGCATTTTTTTGGCTTGGAAACAGGGGGATACAGAAAAATTAGAATGCGACTACGATCGGGATTGGTCCGCCCGGGTACTCGGAGCTGGCCCAGACCTGGATTTAACAAGGTCAGACCCGGGCTTCTCCTACCAACGACCGGGACCGACTGGTCCGGGTCCACCCTATGTTGAACATGTAAATGATTATATTGAAATAAGTGCTTGGGAAAATTAGTTTTTAGTCTTTCTCAGAATGCACCAATGAAAATTAAAAAATATGGGAAAACTGTCAAATTGGTCTGCTTATTATCGTCAAAAAGTCAATTAGATTCACGTACTTTTTCGTGAATCAATCAAGTCCACCAAGTGTTAGAAAACAATCAATTTTGCTATTTAGCCGTTTGAGTATGGAAACTGCTGGTCAATGCTGATATGGATACCTATGTGGCAATAAATTTTATTTTTTTCCTTTTTCTACTCCCTCCGTGCCGCAATTAAGTTCTGACTCTCTTTTTTGGGCAGTCCCTAAATTAAGTTAACACTTTAATACTTTCCTTATTTGGCAAATTATTTATATTAAAACAGTGTCAAACAGTGCAAAACAGTGTAAAACAATGCAAAACAGTGTTTAAACAGTGCACTCCACATAAAAGTCAATTTTTTTTCATAATATATGTGAAGTCAAAACAGGAACTTAATTGCGGGACGGAGGAAGTATTAGTTTTTCTTTCTTCAAGCTGACCAGACCCTTCGCTTTCCTTTCATGTTTTTCCCTTTCACTTTCTTCCCCGCCCTGTTTTTCTGTTTTGCCCCAAATTCTCTCTTTTCCATTTTCTTTATCTTTTTTCCTTCCTTCCCGGTTTTCATTCTATGGATGGGCGTCGGAATCAGAAGTTGAAGAATGTGTGGTCGACGGGAAGCGGGCGGCGGCTTGGGAAGATATTTGAGACAGACCGGCAGTCGTTGGGATAGTTGTTGTGGGCGACGAGCGGCGGGAGACGATGTGTGGGAAAGTTGAGGGCGGCGGGAGATGGGCGGAGACAGGTGGTTAGGGTGCAGGGCTGTGGGCGATTGGGTGACTGATTGAAGATGGGTGAGCGACGACTGCACTCCGGGGACCGGCGACCGGCGACGCGAGCGGCATTTGGGGGAATTGTGGGTGGCGTCTGGCCGGTTGAGGTAGTTGTGGGTTTCAGAGCTTGATGTTCTTTACTGGAAAGAAATAGAAAAAGAATGATTGAATGAAACAAAAAAGCATAGTTCTTGGTTTACAACCTCGGGTATACCCATTTATTTGCCCTTCTCACAGACAAAAAACACACAAATACAGACACTTTCATTGAAAGTGTCGGTGTGAGTAAAATTAGTTTCTAGATCTGTCAGGCTGGTTGCACAGAAACCAATGTCAGTGTACACAGACATTAGTTGTCTGTGTAAACTAAAAAGTGTCGGTGTGAAAAATTAATTGGAAAACAAGTGTCGGTGTACACAGACGTTAGTTGTCTGTGTAGACAAAAAAGTGTCGGTGTGAAAAAATTAGTTTGAAAACAAGTGTCGGTGTACACAGACGTTAGTTGTCTGTGTAGACAAAACGTGTCGATGTGAAAAAATTAGTTGGAAAACAAGTGTCGGTGTACACAAACGTTAGTTGTCTTGTATAAACAAAAGTGTCTATATATATACAATTTTCGTCTGTGTACACAGACACTATAGCAAACCAATGTCGGTGTGGATAAAACGTAAAAAGTGAGAAGGAAAGAAAAAGAAGAAGATGGTGATGAAGATAAAGAAGATGATTAGGATGAATAAAACCTAAAAAAGAGAAGGAAAGAAGAAGAAGAAGAAGAATAAGAAGAAGATGAAAGAGAAAGGAAGAAAGAAAGAAGAAAGAACAAGATGTTGAAGAAGAAGAAAAGGAAAGAAGAGAGGAGGGAGGGGGATCCGTATGATTCAAATGGGAGAGGAGTGGAGAGAAAAAAGTTGGGAGGGGAGAAATAAGAAATGGGGGGTATATAGGGTGTACACCAAGGTATAACACAAGGTGTAACAAAAGAATTTTTCAACAAAAAAAGAGAAAGAAATGAAGTGATGCGCAGATGGGAAGAACGCAGAGGGAAGAAGTTGCCACGTCAATCGGTTAATAATGTGGATTGCCACGTCAATTGGTTAATAAAGTAATTTGATTGTTTTTTAACTCGTAATGGACTTAGACTGAGTCACAAAAAGTAGTAGTACAAGAATCTAATTGACTTTTTGACTTTTGATAGTAGTACAAGAATCTAATTGACAGTTTTACCAAAAATATTGATATATCTAAGGGAGTATTTCGAGGACTGCCTGTCAAACCAGATTAGCTTCACTTCAGTTTCACCCATTAGGTAAACCATATTACCATAATACACCACTTAGGGATGGACCCGGGCCAGTTCCGGTTCTGGCCTGGGCCCGGACGGGCTTTTGTTTGGGAAGTAGGGAACCGGAACCGGTCCGGGTGACCGGCGGTTCCGGGCCGGGCCGGTTTCCGGTTCAATATTTTTTTTTAATTTTCTTTTGTTTTTCTAAATTACCCCCGACCCCCCCTTCACCCCCCCACCCCCCCTTCACCCCCCCCCCCAAAACGCCCAGTCCTACCCGGTAGAAACAAAAAAAAAGTGATCGAAAAAACAAAAAAAAATACAAATTTGGCCCGAACCGGTCGGGCCAGTTCAACATTTTCAAGGCCCGAGCCCGAACCGGGAGGTGGGCGGTTCCGGTTGGCCCGAACCAGCCCCAAGACCGGGTACCGGGCCGATCCGGGCCCAAACAGTACCGGCCCGGGCCGGGCGGCCCGACCCGAGTCCACCCCTAACAATACTACAACCAAATATTCGGTCTCAGAGATGCTCTATTAAGGTAGAAACAAGTTGGAGAAATAATGTTTGTTATTTTAACTAAATTTATGAAAATAGGAGAAGTTTCCCAAAGAGAAAAGTACTGTATTTCCTTCATAAATACGATAGTAAGAATAAAGTATTAGTCTTCGGAAATTGTATTGAATATATGATCTCAATGTAAACGTATTCAATCTTGTTTGGAGGGAAAATAGAGTGGCCGTTTGGCAACATTGTTTTTCGGCTTATCAGACTTATTAGCCAACTTTTTTGCCAAACACGTAACTTATGCTTTCGCGCACTGAATTGTGTGATAAGCAGAAAAAGTAAGGCAGAAGTTACTTTTCTGGCTGTATTGGCTGAAGTTACTGTAGTTGACCATTTTAGCTACTAGTAAACTCACCGTGCAATGCACGGTTTAAGAAATTTTTCTTTCAAATTTATGTGTGCTTAGTAATTCAAATCACACTATCAATTGATGATATCATCTATCTTCATGTAATACTGATATACATGAAAGCATTAGAAGTCTAAGTATAAACTCAAGTAATATGGTGACTATGCATTTATACAAATTGAATCAGTAGTCATATGGTGACTATGCACACTTATAATTGCATCAGAAGTCTAAGTATAAACATCTCAAGTAATATGGTGACTATGCATTTAT